ATAACTAAAAGTAAAATTTTGATTAATTTAAAGTTAGTCAAATATGCTCAAAACCTAATCATCATCGCTAAAATCTAAAAATTTCCAACAAACGCAAACTTAAAAATATTGTGAGCAATTAAGTCAATTATCTTAAAAAAAAAAAAAAAAAATGCATAGTTGTAAACATTTTTGTCTGGCAAAAAATTAATATTGAGTTAACAACCATCGAACCCAAAAAATTTACACATTTAAATGGGAAAAAAAATTTCTACGACTAGAATTCATTATTTTAAACGGACCAAATTACTATTTATTATTTAATTGAGTAATCTTTTACAATATTTCTTTTATGCAGAATAAAAAATAATTAATGGCTCCATAATTGAGAGAAAAAATACGAAACTAACCTTGCGTTTCACCATTCCAATCATATTCACCAACCTTTATCGTTCAGAAGAAAAAGAAGACTTTGTTTCTTTAAATGTTGGCGTTCATGGCTTCCCGGCGGCTGCTTGCGGTGGTGCTTCTCTCGTTTTTAATGGTGGTGTCTGCCGTGGCTGTTCCTGCATCAAGTAAGCCTGATAAAATCCTTGATATTGATAAATTGTAGAGTAGGAATAGGACAATTCTTCAATTACAATTAACGTGTTAGACTTTTGTGATATCAGGGAGTCTTGAAGTAAAAGTTGGTAACATTCATCATCAGGTACTCTCTCTCTCATGACCAGATGAGATGGCCTTAAAACATTCTATTGAACACACACACATATATGTATGTATGTATTTCCATAAACATTTTGTTAAATTTCTTTTTCTTCTATGACACTTGTAAAAATGTTGCATACTGAATTTTTGAGTTCAAAGGGACTGCAATTATTAAATACCTACGATTTGACAATAAAGCTCAAATAGCATCTATTTATTTTTTAAACGCAGACTACTATATATTATAAGCTTTGCTCTTTAATAAAAGATGACATGACATTCACGGATGAATTCAGGATTGAATTCAAGATTGGGTCACAAAATTTCAAGTCGGGCTAATATATGAAAAAAAAAATTACAAACAAAAAACTGTTTTAAAAAAAAAAAAATGAAAAATGCATTGAAAAAAAATAAAAATTTCTTGGGCTTTGGGGGGACTACAACCCAGCCTAGTCCCTCCTCCCCATATCCGTCTCCGATGACATTCTAGTTTGAGTTATATTACATATACAAATAGTTTAGTTTATCAGAAAGTTTGATAGATGGTAAGATAACATGCATGTTGATCCTTGAATTTATCTGTCAACATAGGTGTAAACAATCAGTACAAGTAGCTTAAAATTTTACGTTACTTTTTTTCATATTTGTGTAGGATATGGTGGAGTTGAAGGTTGATAGTGAAGAAGTGGTGGAAATTAGATTAGTGGAGATTCGAGATTACGGAGGTCCTAGAACTAGATCTCCAATAAACAAGAAGACATAATCATGTTTGTTTAAGCCTTCGTCTTTGGCTGGTTCTTTCTATATTTGCAATTGTTAGTCGTTTAATTTATCTGATTCAAGCTTGCACTGTTTAGTGTAGAGTTTAATGGATATGTACTTTGAACCAAATAAAGCTCAATAACTAATGTGAAATTTTGCTATAGGTCGAGAGACTACCCCGTATTTTTTACTTTTTTTACTCTCTCATGTTCTCCATTTATTGAAAGATATCCACGTTCACATTAAATATATTAATTTCAAATGAAAATTTATAAGATAACAATACTATGTGTTATTTGCTCCATTTTTTTGCTAATTCAGTTTACCAACGAGCCAATTATGTCCATTTAGTGCTGTTTACCTCAATTTTTTTTTAATCCAGAGAAGATTACATTATGTTGCAGAGCTCTTTGAAATCAGTGATATTCCAAGCCCAATTTGTTAAATTTTATTATGATTTCAAATTCCAAGAACTTGAAAACCTAATTATTCTATTGCCAAAATCATCCAATCAAATCACTAAGAGAATCATTATATGTAGAATATACCTTAATTCATTGTGAATGATTCCTTATTACTGGATTTAGATTCCGGATCTTAAATCTTGAAGATCAATTGCAATCGTTTTCATGTTTGGCTTCTTAATCTTTAGTCTTGAATGTTGCCTCTTTTGATTCTTGAATTCTTATTTTTGACTTTGGTTTCTTGCTTTATAGTCTTGATTGCTTCAGCATGTTCTTCTTGATTCTCGATCTCGATCAATGTTATAAAAATCAGATCGGACCGACCAGTTCAACCGAAAAAATAGTGAACTGCCTTTTAATCCGGTCCGATACTCATAAACTAACCGAAAAATAAAAAACCAACTAATAAACCATCAAATCAGCTAGTTTAACCGTGAACCGAAAAATCGACCACAATTTCTTACGGGTAATTTGATTTTTTTTTTCCACAAAATTTTTTAACTATCTTAATGGATTACCTATTGCAATTGAAGGCCCAAGTAACTTTTTTATAAAAGTGATTCTCCCTTGCCTTCTTTTTAAAGGAGATCCTTTTTTCAATGTTTTAATAATTTTTCAATGTGGGATGCTAGCTCCTTTTTAAAGGAGAATATTCTTCCAATATTGTGGTAATCTCCCAATGTGGAATACTTGCCAATTATCAATGCTAAGTGTTTCCTAGTTTTCTTCATCATTTTCATTAACAAATCATAAATCCCAACAAGATTATAATTTTCAATTTGAACAAACCAAATTATTTTGGACATATTAATTTTTAGTTTTCAAAGTTATAAAATAAATTATTATAATGAATCTAATTAACAAATATTGATTATGGTCCCGTTTGGGAACGATTTTGAGAATTAATTTTTTGACTATTAGGAGAAAAGTAGGGGCCACTTGTGATAGAAGAAGTCAAACTTTACGGCTGGAATAGTGAAATAACGATCAAAAAATCAATTTTTTGGGGTGAAAAATCACTCCCAAACACCCTCTATATTTATTTTGAATGAGAAAACTAAAATTTAAAAATCTATTATATTTATGATATTTTATAGTTTATTTGTGTAATTATTTATTTAATTTGTCATCCGGTTCGATATTGGTTCGACCTTGATTTGATCCTTTAAACCTCGTCTCTCTTCCTTTTCCGGGTCGATTTTTAAAACATTGATAATAATACCTCAAAGGGCACAAATATATGCAATACACTTTTGGTCAAGTGTATGGTTGGGCCCTAAATGTAATACTCCGTGCAACTTCTTTTGTGGGTTACCAATTATTTTTTATTGGATCGGCTATTTTAAATAGTCTCAATGTGAGGTTCCAAACGAACCATTTGATTTTAATCCCATCCGATAAATTCAATATCTCCCCAAATTTATTTATTATAAAAAAAACCTAACAAAGATACAAATAAAAACTACATATAAGTCTTCTTGAACAAAGGAAAGTGAAGTTAATATTCTAGTTGTCACTAGATTTTTCTCAAATATTCTTCACTTATGATTGAAATTCAAGGTTTTTCGAATTGTCACTGAACTTACCAAAACATTATCACATCCTTCGCTCCATCATTCTAGTGTCAATTATATAATTGTACTTAAATTTTGTTGAATCAGATAACCACACTTTAATATGCTTTCAATTGGATAAGTACCCTTTATTTTTATTATAATTCCGTAAGTATACTTTAATTTGATTCAAATAAGACAACTTTATTCAATTTTCACTAATGTGAATCGTTGATGGGATAGTCAATAAATAATAGCTATCATACGTAACCGTTAGTTGATAACATGGAATAAGTGATACTTCATTGAAATATATAATGGGCATAATTTATTAACACTATGTCATTGATTTCTGTGCCAAAAGATTAAATAATTAAATTAGATTAAATAAAACTATAATCATGTAAGTCTGAAAAGTCTAAGAAATGTTATTCTCGTAATTTATAGAGTAGAGTGAACACATGGGAGAAGGCATCAATGGTGACAATATGATGTAATTCTCTCTACATCCCAATTAAATGGTAACAAGAAAAATTAAAAATGAAAATATCAATATTTTGAATTATTTTGAAAACAAATCACTACATTGCATATTTTGTTAACTAATTAATTTAGTAGATTCATCTAAGGTCCCATGCACAAATCGGTAGGCTCTTGCAATAACATTAGTTATGGCCTATACGTTCCATTTCTTTTCCATAGTGAATACCATAGAAAAAGTTATATACAAACTGATCGCCCAAATTCGGTGCTTGTTTGACAAGAATTTTCTAATTTTTTTAATTAAATTTTGAACTAGTCAAACTTAAATTTTAATTTTACATTTCATGGACTCTACAACTTTATTAATTTTGCTACTACTCATTACATAACTTTTATCAAAATTTCTTGAACTTTTGCGAGAGGCTTTGTCAAATTAACAATCTTGTAGTACACAATGAATCAATCAAAGAAATTTGAAGTATATCGCCCCTTGGGCATAGTCCAATGGTGTAAAGGACAAGAGCGATGTTATCTCACGTCTTATTGACAGTCGCAGTGTGGAGGTTCGATTCTTGAGACATAGAATTGGATTCCTTGTAGGTGTAGTGTACAGACATCTCTTGTTTTCTAGCCTGTTAGGACACATCTCGCAATTTACCTTTTTCAAAAAGTTCTACGAGCGAGACGGTAAGGACTCTCAAGGTTGGGGTTCAATATTTTTTTAGAAATTTGAAGTATATCAAATTCTACAGCAATGAGCAAACATGTGCTTCCGGTGCTAGGCGACAACACATTAAATTGCAATAAAAAGTGTCAGAGATACATACAGATTTCAAATGGACCGTTAAGACTTCATGCCAAATTTGCCAGCCCATTGTTTACAGAACTGCCGGACACACTTTAACCGTACACAATGATTGCAAGGTCAGAAATGAAAATGGTACAATTCCTAAATTCAAAGCTTTGCCTCTGAGTGCATGTGACTTGTTTTTGTGTCAGAAATGATTGTCCTTGTGTCAGATGTAGGCCATAAAAGATGAGAAATGAATTCAAGAAATAGGCAAGAACGGGAACCAAACATAGGTATAGTTCGTGGGTTGGAGTTCGGTTAGACTACAGAAAAACAATGGGTTTGCGTTTGCTGCATGCCCAATTACTTGTGTTAATTCTACTTATTTTGGTTTCAAGATCAGTTTCTACACAAGCAAATTCACAAAGAGCAAAGCAAAACTGTATGGATCGTTGTGGAAATGTAAGAATTCCCTTCCCTTTCGGCACGAGGGAAGGCTGTTACTTTAACGAATCATTCTTAGTCACTTGTATTAACACCAACTCTGCTTTTCCGAAACTATTCTGGAGAAACTTTACATTCCAAATCACAAGCATATCCCTGAAGGGCCAATTGCGTGTTTTGCAATCCATATCAAAATACTGTTATTCTAGGACTGGCACCCAACCTGAACCGAAGTCGATAAATTTACCTTTTGGATTCACGGTCAATGATACTGCCAATAAGTTCATTGTCGTTGGTTGTGATAGTTACGCTCTTGTATCTGGGAGCCGTCGGGAGAAGCAGGATTACATTACAGGGTGTATTTCCCTGTGTAAAAAGGAGGATCTGGCCGAGCTCTCATGTTCTGGTTTAGGCTTTTGCAAGATTTCTATCCCGACACAGGCGTGGAGCGTTGAGGTGAAAACGGGTAGCTTTGAAAATTTCACAGAAATGTCAGACTTCAATAATTGCAGCTATGGCTTTCTAGCTGAGGAAAGTGCATTCACCTTCAACGCAAGTAGTCTTTCCACTCTGAGGAATGTGGAAAAGCTTCCAATGGTGGTTGACTGGGCAGTTGGAGAAGAAACTTGTAAGGAGGCTGGAAATAATATTTCTAGTTATGCATGTAAAAGTGAGAATTCCAATTGTTATAAACCCAATAATGGTTATGGGTATCGCTGTTATTGCCAGGAAGGTTATGACGGAAATCCATACCTCAAGAACGGCTGTAAAGGTATATTGTTCACAATATAATAAACAAGATGTTACCTTCATTATTCCTTCTTATTACTCTTATATTTGTTATGCAGACATTGATGAATGTAATAATCAAACTCTCAATATCTGTGAAAAGGATTGTAAGAACACAGCAGGGGGTTTTAAGTGTCTTTGCCCGAAAGGCTACCATGGAGATGGTAAAAAAGACGGACGAGGTTGCATTCGTGGTCAATCACTTGTCCTCAAAGTTGCTACAGGTTATCAGTCGCACTATTTCATGGGTGTAGCTAAGTAATCAGCAATTCCCCTTGTAATAAAGAAATTGCTGCCAGAATTAATATAGATGCTGCCACAGCAACATCTGTTCTGGTCTGTCAAAGTGTAGTCTCTATTAATTCTAGCAGCACTTTATCTGTACAAATAGTAGCTATCGTAAGTAATTGACTAATTTCCTTACCAAACCAACAACTGTAAGCCTCCAACAGAATTCTAGCTAGTCGTTAGGCTGACCTTGAATTTCGTCCTTACCAGATGTTACTGAAGGAGTAATTGCTTTTAATATATTATAGTTCCTTACTCCCTTATATACTAAATTACCGAAAACAATGAAGAATATTGATATTTACGTTCTCTAGTCTCTTACCTCTTCCATGCTCATTTGTTTATCTAAGGAGTGTGGTAATGAAGCTAACATAAAATTTACATTACAGGGATTTCTATAGGAATCACTCTTACAGTGGTTGCTATCTGGTGGTTATGCTTCGTACACCAGGAAAAAAAGTTGGTCAAGATGAAGCACACATTCTTTCTTCAAAATGGTGGGCTATTGTTGCAAGAAAAACTCGCCCGAGGAGAACAGTCGCCCGATGGAGCAAAAATATTCACTTCCACTGAGCTCAAGAAGGCAACAAATGACTTCCATGATAATAGAATTGTTGGTCAAGGAGGCTTCGGCACTGTATACAAAGGCTTCTTATCGGATAATACAATAGTTGCCGTAAAAAAGTCCAAACAAGTTGATCCAAACCAAGTAGAGCAATTTATCAATGAAGTGATTGTTCTTTCCCGGATCAATCACAGGAATGTAGTCAAGTTTCTTGGTTGTTGTTTGGAAACTCAAGCTCCTCTCTTAGTTTACGAATTCATCAACAATGGCACCCTCTTTGAACACATACACAACAAAGCAAAGGCAAGCTCTTTTTCTTGGGATATGCGGTTAAGAGTCGCTGCAGAGGCTGCAGGAGTGCTTGCGTATCTGCACTCAGCGGCTTCTCCTCCAATCATACAAAGAGATGTTAAATCAGCAAATATTCTTTTAGACACTAATTTCACAGCCAAAGTTTCAGATTTTGGAGCTTCAAAATTATTTCCTATTGATCAAACTCAATTATCTACTGTGGTGCAAGGAACTTTTGGATATTTAGATCCTGAATACATGCAAACAAACCAGTTGACTGGGAAAAGTGATGTTTACAGCTTTGGAGTAGTCCTGGTTGAGTTACTAACAGGAAAGAAGGCATTAAGTTATGATAGATCAGAGGAGGAGAGAAATTTAGCCAACTATTTTCTCTCAACACTGAAGCAAAACAACCTACTCCAAGTTCTTGATGATAGTATTGTATGCGAAGGAAACAGTGAGAAGTTAACATCAGTTGCTATGCTTGCGAAAAGGTGTTTACATGTTAAAGGGGAGGATAGACCAAGTATGAAGGAAGTAGCTATGGAACTTGAAGGTCTGAGATTAGCAGGAAAACACTCGTGGAACCAAACAGAACCCATTGAAGAAGAGTCGGAATCCCTGCTTTCTGGGAAAATGAATGCCTTTGCAATTGCAACCGGTGAGGGTAGTAGCACATCTATTGGATATGATAGCACGATGGATCATATTAGTGGGAGATAATACGTAGCATTTGGAGTGAGGTTATATGGTGCCGGCGTGATTGGCATTGTTGTTGTCGAGTTAATTAATGGTTTTATCTTGTGTTAGTTATTATTTAAATATGATTTCAGTAGAAAAATATAAATAATATAATAAAATAAAAGATTCAAGGACTTTGGGGGATTCAGGCTGGACCATGTTCCCCGTCTATGCATTGCTATTCAGGAGCAAATTCCCTGTCTCATACGGCCCGAAGGAATATGGGATGAATCGGGCGTGTGATTTCTTTGTATAATTAGTTTCCTTGTTTAATAAAGGTTTCTTGTATATATTTGTAAATATCTATATATATGAAGGGAAACAAGAGGAAGAATCATCAAACGAAATTGTCACGACTATGTATTTGCTGCAAGCCCAATTCCTTCTGGCAATTCTGCTAATTTGGCCTCGAAATCAGTTTCTACTCGAGCAAATTCCCAAATAGCAAATTCCATCTGTATGGAACTTTGTGGACATGTGAGTATTCCCTTCCCTTTTGGCACAAGGGAAGGCTGTTACCTAAACAGTTCTTTAACAAACTATTTTAATATTCAAAAACCTAACAACATTATTATCACTAATCTTCAGGATGAGCATATGATTTATCTTTAAATATCTAACCAAGTATTATTGAAATTTTAATGGAAACTTCTTATCAGTGTGAAAAATTCAATAAAACATACAAGTAAGAACACAAAGATTTATCTAATTCGACGCCAGTGTGACAAACCTACATCGACGGGAGAAGAGAGAAGACTATATTCACTTATATTTGAAGTGTTACAATGACACATATAAATAGTCATATTACATCAATGTTGCCTTATTATAGATGAGACAATCAAGTAAAGAATATAACAAATTATGTAAACATTCCAATTATCGTCAACCAATGTTCTTCAAATTATGCCATAATATTTTCTTCAATATTAGCAAATATTCTTCAATCACCAAATATCTTTTCTCCAACACAATATCTTCATGTCTATGTAACATAACACTCAATCCTTGGCACCTTCACTCGAGTGGGAGTTAAAGGCATAATATTTTAATATCAGTGACTGTATACTCGACTTAAGTAGCTCATCTTCATTTGGTATGGATTGTAGAGTGAAATATGTTCATATTTTTCTTTATAGTAACTAGGAATCAATACCTTTATTTGACTTGGTCGAGTCCCTATGTTGTAAAATTATTTTGAGTTTTTGGAAGTTGAGTCAATTCATTTCGTCGTGACAAATTTCATCTTTATATTAGGGCCATCGGAAAAAAAAAAAAAAAAGGGTTTCCTACAAAATAGTAGCAATTTTATAAATCAGCAGCACAATTTCATGAATCAAATCAAGCATAAATAGAATTATATTGTCCAATCACATAAACAGGTCTTAGATTTGGGAAAATTTACCAAATTAAAACTCACAGTTGCATGTTTAGCTAGCTTATAAGTTATTCCTTTTCAGTTTATGTGGAAGAAATTCATGCGAAATACTGGCCAAATAAACCGAAAAATGTAAATTTTGTGTTGGGTCTAACATATCCACTCGATATGAAGCATAAGGTAAAACTTGGTCTTAATTAAGCTACAACTAAGATTTATCCCTTTTTGCTAGTGAGTTTGGACCTGACGTTTATCCATTACATTTCACCTTTGCTCTATTTAAAACGTCCCAGGAATGCATTTGCCTGATAGGATAAGCTATCAAGAATATTTTGTTTGAGACGACTTATAGAAACGAACTATGTAAGGGTTGGTTTTTGATATATTTGTTAGACCAATTTTAATCCGCAAGAGCGTCATCAAAACACAAGAATTAAGAAGGAGCAGAAAAAAGAGAATAATGCAAGGCGAGATGTTATCTCTTTCCTTAGGACAAATTGTCTCGCTACGTTGCTCATGGTGAATGACAGTAATCTCTTAAAATACAATGGATTCACAACTTGTAATAACAGCACTTCAAACCACAAAAAATCGGAGAACTTTTTGACAGAATTTTCTCTCTACAAAGGAAATGCATGAAAATGCCATAAAAATAGAAAGGAGAGAATAGCAAGGGAGAATGAGTGCTCAATGCAATTGGTGTACCCAAAACCATGGCCATAGGGTCCTATTTATAGATGTAGAAATGGTACAAATGAAGTAGTGTAGACCAAAACATGTATCATTTTGAAAATTTGTAATACTTCATTTTTTCCAACTTTAAAATGCAATTACTCATTCATCCGAATTATTTTGAGATTCCAAATATACCAAGACGATTTACTTGACGAGTAGAATAAGTTAGTCTATTTACTTTTTTAATTTGACCATCGAATCAAATTCGAATATTTGATCGAAGTTGACACGAAGTCACACCTTTCCATTTTTCACTTTTATTCTTAACACCAATTCCAACATATTTTGTGTCATACATTTTTTATTTTCATGTAACGAGTCTGCTTACGTTCTTTTAATTAAAGAAGAGGGTGGCATTAGGTTTGCTGTCAGCATAAAACTTTAGTCATACATATCTTATGACATAAGTTTTTATACACATTTTAGTGATCTGCTTTTTATAATTTTTGTAAATATTGTGTTAAGTTCACATAAGTTTTTATACACATTTTAGGGATCTGTTTTTTTTATAATTTTTGTAAATATTGTGATAATGAACTTAACAAAATGATGAATATCGATTCATTTTTTGACTATAAATTTAATGAGAATAAAGTTTATATACTTATTCAATCTAATAAGTACCTTGTGTCAGAATTGAGAAATTCTATGTTGTATTCATTTGACTTTTGTTTATTGAAAGTTGGAACACATATCATTCTATTTAACGACAATAATTTTGGTAGGACAGTTTTATATGCTTACCAACCATCCATTCATTTGATTACTCTTGGAACACACAGCATTCTATGAGTTTGCATGAATTTTGTTTGTTACCCAAGACCAAGAAGGGTTATAATGCTATTAGGGTAATATTTTATTGTCTTATTAAGTTAATACATTTCTTTCCCATCAAGATTACTTACAATATACAGTGATATGTTGAACTATATGTGGCAAAGATATTGTCAGACTATACGGAGTCCCATTATCCATCATATTCGACTATGATCTAAATTCACTTCTTCATTTAGAAAAAGCCTACATAGGGCCATGGGCACGCAATCATAGTTTAGTATGACATTTCACCCCCACAAACAGATGGCTAATCAGATAGGATAATTCAAACTCTTGACATGTTGTGAGCTTGTATTATTCACTTTCAAAGTACTTGGGATGAGTGTCTTCTCTTAGTTGAATTTGCTTGCATTTACAACTTTTAGTCTACTATCTGTATGACACATTATGAGAAAATGTGTGGTAGTAAAAGTTGATTATATGTCCGTTGGACTAGGTTGGAGAAAGAAAATTATTGAGCCGGAGATTATCCAACAAATGGCCGAGGTTGCTGAGAAAATCTAGCAACGAATGAAAATTGCACAAAGTAGGCAGAAAAGCTATGCTGGCAAAATATGAAAGCCTTTAGAATTTGAATAATGTAAGATGGTCCTTTTAAGGGCTGTGCCTATGAAGGAAGGATTTAATGAGATTTGGGATGAAAGAAAAACTAAGTCCTCGTATTGTTGAACCTTTTGAGATATTGTAAAAGGTAGGTGAACTATCTTATTGCATTACCACTAGCATTGTCAGGGGTGCACAACATGTTTCGTGTTTCAAGTTGGGGAAAGTATGTTCTCTCTCACATCCTAAGCTACATGTCATTAGAGCTCCAAAAGGATTTGACTTGTGAAGAGGTACCAATCAAGATCTTATCGAGTTTATAAGGAACTTATAAGGAAAACAATAATGCTAGTAAAAGTATTTCAGAGGGAATATGGTGTGGAAGAGGCAACTTGGGATATGAGATTTTCATGAAGTATCAACATTTATTTGTCAAGTTTTAATATCAAGGACGAAAATTACTTTTAGGATATAAGGATTTGTAACACCACAGTCTCTTTACGCGATTATTATATGTAATTACATTGCTTTACATTTAACATTTAATTCATTGGTTTAATGTTGTCAGGGCTAATGCCGTTTTTGCAGTGGAATGTGCCTTGGATGTCCTAGATGGTTGATGGACCTCTTAATTTATTAATAATATGCTTATAATTTTATTATGTACTTATGATCATGCTTACTTTTGAATTAAACCTAAACATCGAGTTGAAATGTTTCCTCTTCTTATTAAGTACTTTGTGTAATTTAATCTATATAACAAATTATGGGCATTTAGTAGGCTAGTAAGACCAATTTAATTCAATAAGGATAAATAAGAGATCTAACCAGTTAATTATCACAGATATGCCTAATTAACTGTCATTAGGTGAAAAGTAAAGAATTTGCTTATTTTACATCTCCTTGACAAGGCATTTGACTTTATATTATTTTACTCTTATTTTGAGGATTGAATTCAAATTTCTTGTCATGATGAGGCCGCCTAAAACTTGAGAATAATGGTTATTTATTTTAATTCTTATTTACATGAAACCCCTACGGACAAATATAAAAATATGAATATGTGTCTGTGTGTAGATATATTTATGGTCCCTTATTCGTTTAAGTCAGCTAACAGGGGCGGATGGAGGGAACAGGTCTCGGCTAAGGGGAAATTTTTCTTCGATTTTCTATAGTGGAATTTCTTTTTCAATGTATCAGTCCAATAAAAATTAAAAATTAAAATAAATTTGTTCCACTTGACTCTACCAGTGGCTTATTCCCATATTGTAATTAAGCACTGTGCCTCACTTATTTGATTAAATTCAAATAGGCCAAGTTTACTAATATACCATTTTAAATTTCTTGTTTTGTTTATTTGATGCATTTTGTTTACATAATTTGTTACATGATTAATTTCTAGGTAGTAATTTATTCCATTTAAGATTAAATGAATAATAAATAGATGAGAAGTCTTAGATTTATTTATCAACCCATTACCAATATATATAACTATGTATGGAGAAATGTAATTACCTTTTTATTTATAAATATTGAAATTAGCCCAAACAAACTCTCTTATAATTCCTTCTCATCACAAAGCTATAGAACTGGACAGCAAGCATTCTCAAGACTACTTTGTTAAAATGAAAATAAAAACACGAGGAAATTACACCCCACCCCACCTTTAAAGATCTACGTTCTCAAATTAGGTGGGAAGTTTCACATTTCACAAATCAGATATTTCATTTTTAAATATTAAATATACAATTTTCATCACAAATTCTAATCATTTTCCCCCTCCTTTCTCTCTCTATATCTTGATCTCACCCCGTCTCTCTTCATTGAAGCCGCTAACACTGCCCATTGC